CCGATCACCATTTTCGAATGGTCTTGCAATTACCATCCAAAGAAGTGACGCAATTTAAATTAAGGCCATTTGGTGTCAGGTGGGACTTGACGGAATTTTTTTGTTTTTCACTTGAGACTTCTTTTTCTGATCATAATGTTGCCGAAGAATGGACACTAATAAGACCGTCTTGTTTTAGGAGGAGGATGGGTTGAAATTAAGGCAATTTGGTGTTAATTGGGATTTGATTAAGAAAGCGGGCGATTCGTGGTTAGCATATTTATTTTATTAGGGCCTCATTCACAAATCTTCTACGCTAAACATTTATATAGTGCCTTTGATCACACTAGCGATCGATATTTTGGCACCGTGCATGAGGTTTAGAGAGTCCTTTGCACAACAAATAAAGCTAAAAAAATAACAACAAAAGATGACTAATTTTAACAAGTTGCCCTTGAATTTTGATAGCCGAGATATTGCAATGATCATTCATATTTATGAGCAAAAAAATGAGATATTGATGGAACTAATGGTAAACAATGAGATATTTACGGCTCAAGGGGATTATGATTTTCTGGGCATATTTTGATACTAGAGCAGATTTTACCTTTCCTCGCATGTGAAGGATGTAACCGAATAGATCCTAAAAAATTTAGGGTAATTTTTAGGGTTAATACTACAAAAAATCCTAAATCGGTGCACATATGATAAATTTACCCCAAATTAATTTTTTGGCCATAAAAAATCCAAAACTGGTATTCCTGTGATAAATTTATCCTCCGTTAAATTTTCTTGTCAAATTGCCGAGTTGATTGATACGTGACAGCTGACAAGTGTACCAGTTTAGAATTTTACCCCTCCATTTGTCACAGATTTACCAATTTATGATTTTTTATGGCATTAATCCAATTTAACGGATGATAAATTTGCCACATGTGTACACCCGTTTGGGATTTTCGGTAGTCAAAAAATTAGTTTTGGGTAAATTTGTCACAGGTATATCGATTTGAGGTTTTTCGTAGTTAAAAAATTAGTTCGAAGTAAATTTGTCACATGCAAACCAGTTTGTGGTTTTTTGTGGTATTAACCCTAATTTTAACATAGAATATCTCTAAATTAGGCAAATAAGTTTGAGACTATATTGCTCTTGGAAATAAGTTAATGAAGTGGGCTCACTTGGGGAACAAACTCAGATAATGGCTACCCCAGAAAAGAAATGTCTGCATTCTTGGCCTTGACATGCTTAATCAAGGAATTGGAAGTAGATTAAGTTTAGGATAAGAACAAGGGTGGGTGAGATTAAGTTTGTTCAAGCATTCTCACATCTTATGTTGCATCCGAATGAAGAATATCATTGAATTAGAGCTTATATTAATTAAGTTATAAAGTACCCAAATAGGACCAACTAGATTCTAATTGCTGGCGCTCCTTAAAAAATTCGATCCTTAATGCAGATTCTCTTGGATTATGAGAGACAATCAATAATGGGACTTTTGTTGGTTGGGCCCCCCCCCCAAAAAAAAAAAGAATGAGAGAGAAAAGATAGTGATTCTTTGAACAAAACCTGTATTTTAATGGCCTAATTCCTTAGAAAATCCCCAACTTTAGATCAAGTCCCAAATTTATCTCGAACTTCTTTTTTTCAACAAAAATCCCAAATTTTAGGTCCAGTCCCAATCTGCCTTGAACATCTTTTTGTCTCAGAAAAAACTCCAAACTTTAAGTCTAGTCCAAAATCTATCATGAATTTTATTTTGTGTAAAAAAAATTACCAAAATTCAATTTATTTTAAAAAATATACCTCCGTGATCCAATCTCAATCAGATGTGGCACTTCCACATCGATAACAAATCCACATCAACAAAATAATGGGCTTTTTTTTAGACAAAGAAAAGTTCGGAGCAAATTTGGACTGAACAAAAAAATTAGGTTTCGTTTTAAATTAAAAAAAGTTTTTTGAGGTGGATTTGTTATCGTTCCTAACTTTCATATCATAGAATGATTTTTATTTTGGAGAATTTCAACAATTTTTATTGGGTTGAATTTGTTATCGAAGTGAAAATACAACGTCGGTATGTACCTATCGCCCCATTACTTTGTTGATGTGGATTTGTTATCGACATGGAAGTGCTACATCAAGTTGAGACTGGATCACGGGGGTATATTTTTGAAAATAAATTGAAAATTGCTGATTTTTTCTACACAAAACAAAATTCAAGGTAGATTTGGGACTAAACTGAAAGTTTGGGGTTTTTTCTGAGACAAAAAAAAGTTCGGGGTAGATTTGGGACTTGACCTAAAGTTGGAGTTTTTTTAAGAAATTCACCCGTATTTTAATTGAAACTTGAAGAGAGCAATTAAGATCTTCAATTGCCCAAAAAGAGAAAGTAATTAGCAGCAACTTCTGCCATTAATGATCCTTTCTAGAGAGTAATCCTTTCTTTTAATCCTTTTTGGACCAGCAAGATAGTTATTAGAGTTTTGTATGAAAGAAGTTTGTTCTGAGTCAATCCATCAAAATCGATCGTCAAACTTTTACACGTACTTGATCTCACATGAACCATACAGTCTACATTTCTGGCCGTCGAATTGGCAAAAAAGCCTCGCAATACCTCAAATCGGCACGGCAAGTGTCGTGGAAATCGCCAGACATCAAAAGCAAGTTTCAGATGCTCGACAACCGATCAATGTCGGTTGAATTCTCCAAATGGTTTTGGTTCCAACTTGCAGTGAGCACACAGCTTCTAAACCAGTGTCTTATGATTGTGATATTTGGCTAAAGCTCGAGGGAAGCAATTAGATATTCTAAAGTTGCCTAAATATCCAGCATGAAGATGACAACGATCTCTTTCTTTAAAATAAATAAATAAATTAGTGCGCAAAGACAATATACTTAACTTAGCGTGGGCTCCACCGACCAACGAGTGGTAAACTAGCATTTGGTGTAGAGGGCCCCACCAAAAGACCTTGCTGACGACGTCGTATGCGATTCCATTCTTGTTGAGACATTATTCTCGTGTACGGTTTCCCTAAAGCTATGCGAAAGACAAATTGTTTATAGTCTTCGAAATAGAATAAAAAAAAAAATCAAATACATTGTATTTGTTTTGTCGGTAGGCCAAGTATATCTTCTGATTGCCATGAGCATCAAAGTCGTAAATTCACTGTCGTAAAGTATTTCATCAATCATATTTTGTACAATGACAATTTGGAAACGTCTCGAGTTATTTTACAGAAAATCGATGATTTAGAAAATTCTGCGGGACAGTTGAAAAACCGGGAAATAGATGTAGATCTTGCCCATAGATTACAGGCGGGACAGATGAAGGGATAAGATTAAAAACGAAACTAACAAAAGAGAATAATAGTCGTTACTCCAATTGTGGATAAGACGGCCGTCTGAGATAATTTGACCATATTGAACGAAAGCCTTCAAATGTCTCAGTGAAACGATGTGAACGTGAATTGGACATGTTAGTCAAAAAGGATGGGGGGGCTAGAAAAGATCAGGGAAGGAAACCGTAAGAAACTATACGGAACATTTAAAACTCATGTAAAAAACCTCACAAAGGATCAAGTCCAATGGCACGGTAATACTCATACAACCGATTTGATTTAGCATAATAAGCTTTGATTGTTGTTGTTATTGTTGCTGCCGCCACCGCCGTGATTAATCCCCAAAGTTCCATTTTTTGCCTTCTCAACTCGAACGCGCCCTAAATTTGCACCCTCGACAGTCGCTCTCGGCTCGTCCAAACGCAAGAAATGCGCCAAGAAGTAGAAGATTCTAACAAGCCTACGACTAGGGGTGAGCGGTTCCCGGTCCGGTCCGGTTCCGAGGTGGAACGAGGAGCTTAGGACCGAGAAAACCCGGTTCCCAATTTTGGGAAGCGGGTGAGCAGGTTAGTTCTAGGACCGAGCGGACCGGGCCGTTCTAGGACCGATGGAGCCAGGTTACTTAGAGTTTAGGATTTTTTTTTTGTCAAACACTTAAGGTTTGGTTCACATTTTATTTTATGTCAATGAAGTTCACTTAGGGTTTAATTTACATTTTACTATTTTTTATCAATGAATTTATGATAATGAAGTTCACCCAGAGTTTAGTTCACATTTTATTAATTTTTTTAAAGAAAAAAATTACAAAAATATATATTAAATAGTCGGTCAGGTCAGGTCAGGTTCCCTGGATGAAGGAGACCGACCTGGAACTGTTCCGCTTTTAGGAGCAGGGAACCTGACCGATAGTCCCAAGAACCGGACCAAACTCGTCGGTCCGATCCGGTCCTGTCCGGTCCCGGTTTGGGCGGTCCAAGTTGCTCACCCCTACCTACGACATGAACAAAAAGAAGAGACAAAAACAAGCCCATGACATTTCACATCACAAACTCAACCACTCCCCTGCACTCTCGCCAGCATCTTTCCACGTCCCAAAACGTGAATCGACTACCCACAACATTGAAATCGAAAAATCCTCTTGTCCCTTTCCGGGCGAAGATTTTTCCTCAACGGTAATACGGCTTGCCCCCCCAAAAAAACACACACGCCTGCTTAATGATGATGGAAAGGCGGGTGGTTGCAATAGCTCGAGTCAAATTGATCTGACCACCTTTAATGATGGGGGGGGGGGGGGGGGGTGGCCTAATTGCCCTAGTGGAAAATGCAAGTCACCCAACACTTTGTCCTAATCATTCAATGTTTCCTCAAAGCCACCGATGGCATCCGATGCAATGCAAATCGCGACACATGTCCAACTTCTCCCCGTCCTTGATGATCAGTAAAACGGGTCTTTTTCAGCTAGTATTGCGTATGACATTTGAGTCGGCAAATCATACTAATTATATACGGAACGGGGAAACAATGCGTTAAAAATCGAGTCTTTCGTTGCTTGAACGTTCGAATCGCCCTCTATTGTCCAAGTTTAGTCATGATACATCATCATGAATATGCTCGAGATTTTTAACAAGCACGCTTTGCTCTCGATCGATGAAAGAACGAGCCGCGTAATTACCAGAGTCTCTCGAACTGTGACGAAGGAGTGGTGTGGGACAGATTCCAAAAGGTCCCATCAATGCCAGCTTTGCTCCCTTTCTCCTGGTACTTCCCCCTCCCCCTCACTCTCTCCTCCGTCATGGCTTCATCTTCGCTCCCTCTCTTCTCCTGAGCCTCTCGCTCCCATGCAAGTCCCTCCCTCCTCCGCCGCCGTTCTTGAACCCGACCCACCTCGCGCTATCCCTCCGCCGCGTGACCGCCGGGAGGCGGGTGCCGCCGCCGCCGAGCTCGAACCCATGAGCGACCAGGTGTCCAAGGCCACCACCTCCGTCTTCGGGCTCAACCTATGGGTGGTGGTCGGCATCTGCGTCGGCGTCGCCATCGTCCTCCTCCTCTTCTTCATCTCCCTCTGGCTCACCTCCCGGAAATCAAGAACCGCCCGCCCGACGCCCGGCAACCTCACCTCCATCCCGGTCGTCTCCAAGGAGATCCAAGAAATCCAAATCCCGCACTCCCAGGTCCAGCCCGACCCGTTCCCCGACCCGGAACCGCTGCCCGAGGAGGAGAGCCTAATTGGGTACAACCGGATTCACATTGAGATCGGCAAGGACCACCGGATATCGTACCCGGAGAGGTACTACGGGTCGTCCTCGCACGGGAGTGGCGGGGACGGCTGTCCGAGGAGTGGCGACCAGGCGGCGGCGGTCGTGCCGGAGGTCTCGCACTTGGGCTGGGGGCATTGGTATACTCTCAGAGAGCTCAAGGCCTCTACGAACGAGTTCGCTGATGAAAATGTGATTGGTGAAGGAGGGTATGGGATTGTATACTATGGTCTTTTGGAGGACAAAGCTCAGGTTGCTGTCAAGAACTTGCTTAATAACAGGTGCATTTTAATTTTATCTCTGTTAGTTTTTTTTTATGTGAAATTCGATCTTGCCTTTGGGGCAGTTGTGTTGTTTGTGGAATCGTGGGGTTTGGGTTTTTGCTGGGGAAATGCGGATGTTTTGTCTTGTTTTTGAACGTCAGAGGAAGTGGTTGATCCTGGACTTTTGTGTGTGCGTGTGTTCCTATGTTAGGGGGCAAGCTGAGAAGGAGTTCAAAGTCGAAGTTGAAGCGATCGGCCGCGTTCGGCATAAGAACTTAGTCAGGTTGCTTGGCTACTGTGCTGAAGGAGCTCATAGGTATATTGCGCTCCCTTTGTTTCCTTTGGTTAAATTGTTCGCGTTGAGCACAAGAAAATGTGCCGCAATAGCGGGGTTCGGCGTGTGCGTTCATTGTTGAACGTATTTGATTTGTTATTATTCGAACTTTGGTGCGAGGTTCCCAAGTAATTTTCAAATAACATCTTGGTTCTTGTCATACAGGATGCTTGTGTATGAGTATGTCAATAATGGGAATTTAGAGCAGTGGCTTCATGGGGATGTCGGTCCTCGTAGTCCTTTGACTTGGGAGATACGGATGAAAATTATCTTGGGAACTGCCAAAGGGTAAGCTTCATCAGCATACACAATTTGTTTAGCATCTGTCTCGTCCGCACTCCTGGTTCTAACGATTTACTCTCCTCTTGCTACGGATACAGGTTGACTTACCTTCACGAGGGACTTGAACCGAAAGTGGTACACCGTGATATTAAATCGAGTAATATATTACTCGACAAGCAGTGGAATCCTAAAGTCTCAGACTTTGGCCTTGCCAAGCTGCTCTGTTCAGATAGTAGTTATATCACAACTCGTGTGATGGGAACATTCGGGTCTGTATAACTTCTCACACTCTTTTACCAACCTTTCTATCTCTCTCTTGAAGCCAAAATGAACTCAATGTCATTATTGCTGGTTTTGCAGCTACGTAGCCCCTGAATATGCGAGTACGGGCATGCTCAATGAAAGAAGTGATATATACAGTTTTGGTATTCTGATCATGGAGATAATTTCTGGGAGAAACCCTGTTGATTATAGCCGCCCTCCGGAAGAGGTATGCATTATCTTGTGACTTATCTTTATCTAGTTCCCATCGAACAAAAAAAACTTCTGTGAAAATCTTTTCTTTTTGCCAGTTAACTAGACTTCATCCATTTCCCACCCTCTCTCTTTTGCTAAAAGTTGAAAGAAATTGACAGGTGAATTTAGTTGATTGGCTCAAGAAGATGGTTACCGACAAGAACCTAGAGGGAGTGTTGGACCCCAAGTTGCCTGAGAAGCCTATTTCAAGGGCATTGAAGCGGGTACTTCTTGTAGCTCTAAAATGCGTTGACCCTACTGCACAGAAGCGCCCGAAGATGGGGCACATAGTGCACATGCTTGAAGCTGAGGAGTCTCCTTTCAAAGATGTATGTCTCGGTTTCATTGGAATATTTGGCTTTTCTCACATGTGCATATGCTAACATACATGAATTAGCTTTTTGTTGTTTTCCCAGTCTTCAGAATTTACTCTAGTTTTCACAATAAGGTGGGGGTAATGCTGAGTGATGTCTTAGTGTATAATTGAGTAGCACAAGATTGATGATCCATGTAGGTGGGGTAACTGTTGTTGTTCCCTCGTGTTTGTGTCAGATGATAAGGTCGACAGCCCAAATAGTTTGTTACAAATACTCAATAATTATGATTGATCTGATAATGCTGGTGGTTTCTAACTTCCCCTTGGTCGATTTGTTTTCTGTTATCTCTTCATGGGTCTGCGAGATTTACTTTAGATTTGCACTCTTAATTTGTACTCCCAAGATTTGACACTTGATCTTCACTTAAAGCATTTCCTATCTAGCTATGCTCATCTTACTTTACATGCTTTGTTAATAATTCTCTTAACATTTACTCAGGATCGTAGAGCTGGAAGGGACGCGGGACGTGTAAATGGCGACAGGTCGCAGGTTGGGTCGATAGAGACTAAAGCGACAGAAACAGGTGGCAGTGACCAAGAAAATGTTACTTCTACTAATGAGGAGCCTACACATCAAGAATCTGAAGAGCAGAACCTGTAAATTCCAATGTCCTTCCGAAGAAAAATTCTTGTGGTTAATATAATAATGCTCCATTCAGAAGATGTCATTCTTTGGTGACGGGGGCTTTCAGATAAGTTCATATACAATCGTGTTTCAATCCATTACGTTTTATATAGTCAGTTTTCATGTAAGCCCTTCCGATCGAAGCTATCATAGTAGCTTCAGCATGTATTATATACAATGTAGCGGCTGAGCTTGATTAAATTTTTTCTTCTCACGCAATATCTATCGAATACTGCAATTGCAGCAATTGCTGTTGCTGCAGAGAATTACCTGCAACTGTCTTGAATTTGAGAGAATGTCTTGTAGATGATTATTACAATAGTGAAACGGTACCCCAAAGGAACAGAGGAGGGACCAAGTTTTCAATGATACAAGTCCCAAAATTTAATGGCGTTGCTCAGAGTCAGGTTGGTTGGATCGAGAACTGGCAGGGTCCCTCCACTAACATGGCCTTGTTAGTCCACAAAGCTGCATGAGTGCATGAAAAGGCCACGGTCTGGACATATTGAGAGTTTTTCACAGCTGGGTTTGTTTTGTGGCTCTTTCTCTTTGGAATCTCTCAGCTTTCTAGCCCCCCCACCTCATTGATGGTGAGGGTGGTCCATTGCTTTTTGTATAATAGCTATGAGGAGGTCCATTTTAGGGTTTTGGCTCTTCTTGTGTTATTATAAAAAGGCCCACATGGTGCAACAATTTCAGCAGCATCTTCGATAGGTGCTGGAACTTCAATGATTCAGTTATGGGGCATTTGCAGCTCCATACTCTAGAGCTTGGGTTTTGTAGTTTAGTGACTTTTAGTTCCTAGTTCTTCAAAACTCTGAGGTTTCGGTCTGTGAACTTCTGTTTTTGTCCGACGTTGAATCGGTGACGGTCTTGGTGGGTTCAATCCCATAGACTAATCTAATCTTTCTTCTTCCAACTTGAGAGAGAGAGAGAGAGAGAGAGAGAGAGAGAGAGAGAGAGAGAGAGAGAGAGTGTGTCCATTGCTCCTTGTGTAGGTCATAAATGTGAGTGCATGAGCTGTGCATTTAAAAATTGCCACTTTGTTTGTACTTCTACAAGTCCATTGCTACTTGTGCAGGTCATAAATGTGAGTGCATGAGCTGTGCATTTAAAAATTGCCACTTTGTTTGTACTTCTACAAGCCAAGAGCAAGTAGCTTTTTTTAATTTTTTTAATCATTTAGGAAAATGGTCTCGGAGACTCGGCTCTTTGGAGATTCATGAAAAACTCTACAACCCCATGAATCGATTAAGTCCATACCTTTGACTTATGCAGTTGGCCTAACTCAAAACAATTTGTGCACAATTATTTGTATTAGAACGAATGACCTTTGATTCATGAATCAGAGGATTCAAAATAGTCAAGCTTCACACGTGGACTACTGTATTGCATTTGCATTATTCAATATCTTTCCTCGTTGCTTTAATTCCACACTATCACGATAGATTATTCTTTGGATTTTCCAAATTTAAGTGTCATATTTAATCTGTGATCAAGGATTGATTTTACATTTTTAGGGTGGAATTTATATCATAAATCTTTTCTTCTTCTTCTTCTTTCTTTTCCTGTTGTGACATGCTTTCTCGGCTGGGCCTCTCACTTGAAATTAGGGTTCGAGTGAGTTCATTACTACCACGAATCACTGTAGTTTTATTATAAATACATATTAAGTAGTTAAAATTAAATCTAACACAAAGTCCTACATAAGATTATCATCAATCAAACAAAATTCTTACGTTAAAAGGCTCTTCATATGAGAATGATTGGGTAATATCCGTTGTAAAATATTTTTTGACAACCTTTCTTAAAATTAACATATATAGTTAGATTAAGTGAATAACCTAGTGGTAAAATACTAAGGATTAATACCACGAAAAATCCTAAATCGGTACACCTATAACAAATTTACTTATAACTAATTTTTTGACCATAAAAAACCTAAACTGGGCCTATTTCACCCCCTCTTCAGCTCGATATAGGTGTTTTTTTTTTTTTGTGGAAAAAAAACCTTTTCTGTTACGAAATAAGATCAATCACCCATTCACCCTAATTTTTTCTCTCTCATCTCTTTTCTTCGCCTTCTATCTCTATTGTTGACTGATTAAAACATCCATTTATGCTTGCAAATCAATTGATCCTAAATTAAGCATACCTTTCTCTCTTGTGTTTTGCTTCCTCACTGCCGCCGCTGTTTCTCCCATCTTCTTTTTTAAATTATGACCGATTAAATATCGTAATAGTTTTAGGTTTGAACTTTCGTTCGTAAAATCTTACTTTGCTTTTACCCGCCTCATCTTGCTTCGCCTGTTGCCCTACTAGATGCCCTGCAGCGCATTCTTTACGGAGAAAATTTGCCTCATTCGGGGTAGGGGTCTCGTGCCGTCCTGCTGCTATCAAGATGAATACTTAACAGTTTAAGCAAAGTTGTATTTTCTCGACCAAAGTTTTAAACTTAAGAATACCACAAAATTTAATTGATCATAGTTTAAAAAGAAGATGGGAGAAGCAACGGTGATAGTGAGAAACAAAACACGAGAGAGATAATGTTGGTTAATCATTCTTCAAAGTAGAAGGATATTTTACTCAGTTAGCAATAAAAATAGAAGGTGAAGAATAGCGATGGACGGGAGACATAAAAGTAGGGTGAATGGGTGATTGATCTTGTTACCTAACATAGAAGGTTATTTTTGTCAATTGAAAATAAAATTTTTATATCACTAAACTCTTATTTTCTTATAATTGATATACTTTCGTTGGAAATCGACCAATTTTCCGGTAAACTATTATCTTGGAGGACACATGGTCACTTTTCAAGACCCTACGTTATCGCACACCAAATGTTTGTTTGAAATCAATCAAAGTCCCGGCCAAAATGTACTTTGCCCTAAAATTTTGTACCATCTTCCTAATGCTTTTGTCATATGAATGGTTTAAGAACACTATTAAACCTACATTCACTATAATTTGGCGATAAATTAGATTTACTCGGATACCTTGTTACATGCGAGATCACCGCACTTCATTCACGTTCGATGCCTCGAAAACATGAACAAACTATGCAAATGATTAGTTTAATGAGTGTCTCAAAACTAATAAATAAGCTCATTAATAAGATCCGTTTTCCCCTTCTATACTCCCCCAAGTAAATACTAAATTTAAGAAGCTTAATTGAATCTTGAAGTAAGTACAAGATTTTTATTTGCTTAAGAAATTAATATTAAATGAAGGAGCAGACATGGATCCAAGTTTTCCTGTGCTTGTGCTGCACTCCCGCCTTTCCTCTTATTTTTTTGTTATTTAATTTCATTTTTCACTTTGTTTTGTCTCATAAAACAAAAAAAAAAGAAAAACTAGGTTTGAATCGTTTATATAGTAGAAAAAAATACAAAACCCATTACAATATTCATCAAGTGGCATCAACCACTGTCAACCCCACCGCCTTCCATTAATTACCTTCGTAAAGCACACGCTATTCCCCCAAAAAAATCAATAAACATATCGAAACCCTAACTCTGCATGTACGTGTACGTTCTACAGAGAGAGTAAACAATCAATTTCACCAAAAAATGAAAAAAAATAAATTGATGAATTTCTTCATTATGTAACCTTTGTCGATCTTGGAATTAGATTTCTCTTTTGCTCGATTATAGTCGGAGACATTATTTAATGCATGGATTTGGTTTAGTGATTATATGCAAAATCCAACATTTTGTCCTCGTGCTCCGTCTCTAGTGCTAGTTCCCAAAGCCCATCCTCTCTCTCGAGCTCTGATCAAACGGGGGGTCAAGAAAACGAGCGATGTCGACCCACCCGTCGAAGACCGACTCGGAGGTGAGCAGCCTCACCCCGTCCTCGCCCGGCCGCTCCCCGCCGCGCCGCCCCCACCCGGCGTACTACGTCCAGAGCCCCTCCCGGGACTCCTCCTCCCACGACGGGGAGAAGACCACCAACTCCTTCCACTCCTCGCCCGCGCTGCTCAGCCCCTCGGGCTCCCCTTCCCACCCCTCCCACCACTCCTCCCTCGGCCCGCCATCCCGCGGCTCCTCCTCCTCCACCCGATACTCGGGCTCCCTCAAGCCTGCTCACCGGAAGGCCCACCCTGGCGAGGAGCGGGGCGGGAGGGCCCGGCGGGGCAAGGGGTTCGATGCGATCGAGGAAGAGGGGCTGCTCAATGACGGGGAGGGCGGCGGGGCCGGTGGGGTGCCGCGCCGGTGCTACGCGGTGGTGTTCGTGCTGGGGTTCTTCGTGATGTTCTCCTTCTTCGCGTTGATTCTGTGGGGGGCGAGTCGGCCCCAGAAGCCCAGCATCGCCATGAAGGTGCGTGTGCTTTGACTGCGCGATTATTTCTCTCTTTCCCTGATATTCTGTCCAGCCTTCAATGTGATCAGTTTTCTTTTCGTCTTTGTTCGTGAACGGTTCTTGTTGCAGAGCATAGTGTTCGATCAGTTCGTGGTTCAAGCCGGGACGGACTTCACCGGGGTGGCGACGGACATGGTGTCGATCAACTCCACGGTGAAGCTCACGTTCCGGAACACGGCCACCTTCTTCGGCCTCCACGTCACCGCCACCCCTCTCGACCTCTCCTATTCCCAGCTCAGCCTCGCCACCGGAAGCGTAAGTGCATCATGCCTTCCCCGATCATCTTTCCATCGACTTTAGCTCGAAAAAATCTCGATCCGACGTCATTAATTACTCGCGTTGCGGTTTAGCATTAGACCATGCACACATATCAGAACGGTAGGTGCACCTAATCAACATAGATGAATCGAAAATCGATAACGAAGATCAACTCATTCATCACGACCCTAATTTAATCACGAGAACTGTTCTTAATCGAGAGGAAGAAGAGTAGAATACAACTATCGTTTCACTATCTAAGAGGGCATCGATTTTTTTCCCTCGTCGATAGATAAACAAGTTCTACCAGTCGAGGAAGAGCCAGAGATCGATCACGGTGACGCTGAAGGGGGACAGCATCCCGTTATACGGCGGCGGGGCCGATCTGAGCAGCGTGAACGGGGCGCCGACCCAGCCGGTGCTGCTCTCGCTGGCGTTCCTGGTCCGGTCGAAGGGGTACGTCCTGGGGAAGCTGGTGAAGGCCCGGTTCAACCGGAGGATCCGGTGCTGGGTCACCATGGATCCCAAGAAGATGAGCGTCGTCGTTCCCTTGAAGGACAAGTGCACTTACCAGTAAAAGAGCGAGAGGGATGCATGTGATTGGATCGTTATTATGTGTAAGTATAGGTCCTATTGTTTCCATTTCTTCTATTCTTTTTCTTCTTATTTTCAAAATTTTTGTTGTTTCCATTTCTTTTATGCGAGATATATATGAAATTAGAAAATAAATATTTTGGGTTCTTTATGTGTATTTTAGTTTAATGCTATATGCCTTTTCTAGATGAGTACTATATATGTTAGCACCCGTTTAAGAGGAATTGATCCATTGTGCTACAAGTGAATACCTCAAAGGTTTAGAGAATAAAGAAAAATGTTTGCGGCGAGATTTCATACTGGAAATGAACACATTGGCGACGCTCATTTGATCCGATTGGGTTCGAAATGCCGATGAAATGAACTTACCGGCAACTATACAACTCGTTCTAGAGGAACATGACCTTGATGATCGGATATAAGACATAGACTAAGGTAGAAGACAATAGCAAAATAGAATAACGTGAACACGTATATTATTAGACTAAACATACTATAGTTTTATATTTTGAATTGCAGCATCGATGCACTCCACGCAAGGACATTTTGTGTTTCATTAGTATTTTCTCTCTCGATATATTTACTATTATAAAGCTTAATTTCATCGCAATTTCTCATTTTGCAAAATAATGACAAAATAGAATAATGAAAAATTTAAATTGCTAAGATTTTTTTTTCTAAAGCAAATATATTAACTCTATGATAGAATTTGTCAAAATGTGTCCGATGAATTGGGGAAATAACTGCAATATGTGTCTATATTCATTAATATATGCATGGGCATGTTTATGTATTAAAATTTTCCACTAAAAGAAGGGAAAAATATAAAAAAAGTCCTAAACCTATTGCATTTGTGCCAATTTAGTCGTAAACCTTTTGGCATAGTGCCAATTCAGTCATTGCGGCTAACTTTGGCCAATATTGCTAACGTGGACGTCGATCAACCTATGTGGTACCATCGGTGCTGATGTGAATAATTTTTAATAATACTTTAATATTTATTTGATTTTTTGTTATTTTTCTTTGATTTTTTTTCTTTCTTCCTCCTTTTGCTGGTGATCGGCAATGGCCAGGCAGGCTGGCCTCGCCTAAGTGAGGGTCACCATCGACTGCCACAAGCAAGGCCCGGCCGGGCAAAGGTGAGCCTTGTTGAGGGCTCCCATCGCCAGATCTGGGAGGCCGACCCTTGCCTTGGCCACGACGGCCTTGCCAGATTTGGTGAGGGGATCCCTCGCCTAGGCGAGGCCCGACGAGGGTCGGCCTCACCTGGGCCAAATTTGGCGAGGCCGACCTAGCCCCGGCAAAGACTCCCCTTGCCTGGCGGGGACTTGTTTGAGGTGCTAGACGGCGACTCTGGCACATGCGAGGCCGGCCCGCCTGGTCATGGCCGGCAAAAGGAGGAAGAAATTAAAAAAAGAAACAATCGAAATAATATTAAAATATTTTTAAAAATTGTCTATGTCAATGCTAACGGTGCCATGCAACTCGGCTGACATCCACCTTAGCAATATTCGGCCAAAATTAGCCAGAATGTTTGAATTGGCACTATGTCAAAAGGTTTAGGACTAAATTGGCATCAATATAAAATGTTTTGGACTTTTCTGACACTTTTTCCTTCATAGAATATAGGATAACTACAAATCACTGTATACGTAGCTACAATCAATTTCGCTTTGATTCGATTGCCACCAATACACAATTCATGTTCATCTTGTTCATCTTCCTAAGTGTTCTATGAGAATAAGATCCATAAATTGGAATATCTATGTAGTATGCGCCGAAGAAAATGCTAATGATCCAAAATATCTTTATATTCATGTAATATTCCTCCACCTATTAACTTAAGTTTTCGAGTTTGACTTTCTAACAGATTATGTGATGATTTGACGTAACTAAATGTGAATTCTCTATCCCGTATCATACGTCATTCTATGTCTAAATCAATCTCAATTAATGACAGATTTATCAAAAATTAAGATTTGTCGAGATACCGATGATTACTGGACGGAATAGAAGATCTGCCTTTTGTATGTATATTTGGTTCGATTAAAAAGGTCATTCATGCCAAAAGTAATGAATTAGAACGCTGGTCGTGCTTCCTCTTATATGAATCCGACTTAAAGGAATCAAGCACTTGCAAAAATATATAGGAATTAACATTCGCGAGTAATTACCTAATCAAGAAAATGAAAATTGCCGTCGTCAATCTCATCAAAAATATTCCAGATCATCGATTTTGTTCACTAAAAGGGACAGGTACATCCACACAAAAGAAATCAATCGATCGAGATTACTGTTATGCCACGGGTCCTTCTAACGGGCGTTCCGATGAGTCCTTGTTCCAAGGAAAGCAAAGACTGTACCGACCAGTTTTGTCCTCAAATGCGCACGGACCGTTCGGCAGGGTACTCCACAAGCAATTTGTATCGCACCGATTTAATTCTCTGTTTTCTTCGTATATGTTAAAGTAATGAAACTGATCAGACCACGAGAAGCTGCAGAAGTACAGAGTCTCCCCGACCAATACTAACGGGCGGAATTGAAAGGACCAGGACAAGTTGGGCGCCAGCACCTTGTCACCGAAATCATCGTCCTTGGATTTGCAATGGACGGTGAGTTCCGTTCCGCCAGGCAAATTGTTGGTGATCTGAACTGTGGTCTTTCTGACAGCTTGGCACACCCGACCTAACAACATGAGAGCACACACTGACCCCAAAAAAACATTTGAAAGTGCACCCATTTTTCTAGCCATTTCTTTGTTTCAGACAACAGTGACAAAGATCATGCTTCTAGGGTTGGCGCTATTTAAGGAGGAACGAGACTAGTTGTTTAGTCAAGTGAAAGTGTCTAATTGGTATGTGGTGATTTTACGGTAAGAAGGATCTTCCTTGGATAGCGGTGGCAAGGAAACCGTTTGTATTTCGATTTGTTGGATAAGGAGGGGAAGAACCTGTTTGTCAGGATGATTCTCTTCCCAAAATGTCAATCCTAAGCAGTGATGATCGCTATAATTTTTTCCTTCCCTTGGAGTAAGAATACGACACTGTTGGTATAATATTTTAATGAAATTACATCAAATGGAAACGAGATAATGTACAAAATGGCATGAGAAATGGAAGCAACCGGTATTACAAGTTCCATATATGTTCGGTTGTCGAGGGGAAGTGGTGCGGAAAAATTATGATGATTCTTTTATCTTGTGATTGGAAATTCTTCGGCCAGAATACAATTATGTTCCCAACAAAATAAAATATTCCTAGTAAAATGGGTGCATGAAGATTAGGCATAAATTGAGACTAGTTGTCATTGGATGAATCTAATATTACTATAGTTGTCATTCGATGAATCTAATATTACTATAGAGATGATGTATGTTCATATAGATTAATTGATACGTGATTCCCATTTCATTTCTAAATTGGGTATCTTTTGCTGAGCTGGCTACTAGATTTCGAAGAGGTCGCCAGCTTAGCATCTATGCTTATGATTTATCTATATACGCACTAATTAATAGATAGTAATAGTACTAATATGATATGTGATACAATGGACGCTGGAGGTATTTTATAGTAATATAAGCAGTCTAATATGATCCAATAATTAATTAGGTTGTCGACAGTAAAAATAAAATGAAAATCAGGAGATATGCAGGACAACAGAGATAAATGCATAGGATTATCGATGAGAAATGACATAAGCTATAGGTTTAGTTGTAGAAGTGACAGTAGCAGACAGCTGGCAATCATTAGAATATGCCAGCGGCAAATTTTGAGTATTTGAAAATTTGAAAAGATTGGGATCGAATGTGGAACAGTTGCCACCCAAGGATTTGTCTCGTAAATTATCGATGAAACTATCAGTACGCAAAGACTAGGACATCGAAGCTATCGATAAGAAAAGATAAACATGGCTTTATATACGAACAATGGCAGTTACCTAACCTAGAAGGACAAGTGTCGAGATAAAAACATGATCGGTGACGATTACCTTATGGAAAGGGCCAAGTGTCGAGACAAAAATGGATTGACTATGGTTGCTGTACATAAAAAGACAGGTGTCAAAGTAAAGACAAGGACAAATAGCAGTTACTTGAGATAAATTGACAAATGTAAAAAAGACAAAGACAAAATAAGATCGATGACAGTTATTTAACAAGTGTCATAAGGACAAATGGCAAAGATAAGATTAACGACGGTTATCTAATATAAACTGACAGACGGCATTAGAGGACGGTTATCATGTTCACAGTATAAATACTATACGGTAACCAGCAAAATCCCCCCTCCTGCCCGCCGAACACACAATAAAAAATGCTATCTTTTTGTCTTTAATTTTTCGCATGGTACTTTCAATTTCCTTAACTCTAGCCATCTATGTTTCAATTCTAGTAGTTGTGTAGCACTTTACCAAAATTACTTATAAGTATTGTTCTGTTTGTTCCGTTTACTCGAAAGGACTATATTATCATTGGCGTAGAAATTTCTATCATCCGTAGTAAACTCTTCAATAAAATTATCTCGACTTCCCACCCGACACTCTCTTTTTTGTCACTTTAATATGTTTTGCTATGGATGTTATTCAATTCTATAGTGAAGATCACGAGACAGAAACAAGCGAAAGAAGTGGCGGAAAAAGAAGCAACAAGTTAACAACATATCGATCACATTTCGAAGCCGGGTGTCAAAAGAGCATAGTCGAGGTAAGTTGCCTATTTCGTGAACAACGTATTCATTATATTTCAGTTTAATAAGTTGATCGAAACGTGAATCGTGAGGGACTTGGGGGCCAAACACACGAAGGATTGAACGAAGAAACGGACAAGAAAATCAAGAATCTGAAAGAATCGGCTTCAAGGATCTCCAAGGATATGCTTGACATGTTAAATTGAGCATGCCACGATGATCAATGTGTGGAGAGTGACTTCTTTTAATGTAAAATTAGTTCTATGGTCAGTTTTCTGTGAAATTCTGCACAAACAGATGAAAAAAGAAGATAACAAGAGAAGGTGCAAATACCCCACTTTTCTTGTACACCGTAGCGATTTTCTTCCATGCTGGGACTTCGATCGTCTGCTCCTCCTCCTTCTTTGTCACGGTCCGGTAGTTCCTTGACCGCAGAATAACCCGCCTTCTAATTCAAAGAAGGAGGAGGAGCGGAGGACCGAGACATTGAGACTTCCTTCCAATCTTCCATGCGATTTTTGGGACCTCCTTCGAGAAGATGAAATTGTGAATTTTAGAATCGTAACAGAGACGAAAAATAGATGGTATGAGCTAGGAAAAGATCTTCAGAGGAGAAAGAAAGTTCTGACTAACCCAACAAGAAGAGCAAGATGAAGTTATTTCTTTACTTACGTTGGACTGGACGAAAGCAATGGACTTCCAACGTCAACGAGGGCCTGGAAAATTCGTAGTGGAGACGAAGAGATTGGCCATAGGGCTTCATGGGGGATGCTATTTATAGGAACTGGAAGAGACTGTTGGTTTTCTTTCTAAGCAAGATATTCCAAATCTCTCTCTTTGGTTTTTTCTTGTTAATGTCAAATTTGAATATTCCATAAAGAGATAAAGGCTAATTCATTATGGGATTTTTAGAAGTCTTGAATTAACGGGGGAGTTGTGGAATTCCAAAAGTTTTCTACTCTACTTCCCTAAAAAAACCTATGAAAAGATGAGAATCACTTTGAAAGATTGCTGAAATTCCTTAAAAAGGAACATCCAAACAACGTTTATAACTTATCATTAACTCTAAAACCCCTAATGATGATGATGATGATGATGATAAGATACTTTAATGACAAACACTAATTGCAAAATCTCCCACATTATTAATGAACAAAAGTCCTCTTATGTATATGTCACGGGCCAGTAGTTCCTCAGTCGCGGAATAGCTCGTGCAACGCCTGACGAGTCAAGAAGACCTTAGGCCAGCCTTCCTTCTATAATTGTTCCTAAGAACAGTATGGCAAATAACGTCCTTGTATCGGGTCGTACCCTTCCCAGCTTAGCTCAGGCATGCAGTCCCTCGAGTGAAACACACAAAACACTCTAGGCACAACAATTGGTTTCGGCCTCCCATAACCTCATGAGAGCGGCATCAGCTTCCGACCAATACCACTCTTAAGAACCAGTTGTATTTATCTCTTCTGCATCACTCGCTCTTCACGACGCCACCAAATCCACTCACAAGGACACACGAGTACGGGAGAACTCCAGTGCCACTTCGATCCGCGACATATACATATACTAGAGAAAAGCCCAGCCTTTGCCCGACGCTGTAAAGCTTGAAATCTTAGTGTTGACAAAATATCAAGTTGTAATTCTCTATTTCGATTGGAAGCTTTGATGTATCGGCATTATATTATTAAATTTCTTTCTTCCCTATCCATCATTTAAAAAACAAATCTGGATAAGTGTAGTTCGTATGACCATGTAATTATCTTTAACGAAATTAATCAAATTAACTAGTTACCTAGCCCACGCTTCACATGGGCATGTCCAATGCATATTTTTGAACCAATAATAATTCATTAATATGAGATGTGATGTCAGAGAAAAAGATGAGATTTCGTATGATCTATTTTATAGTTCTGTAGAAGAGTATCATACTTTATGTATGTAGGCCTAAGATTAGTACGTGGCCAAATAAACGCTGCAATTTTAAGTTTCCTAGAGCACATAATATATAAATACAACTGATTTTTTGTTGTACAATAAGGAGCACTATATTTGAAGTATGTTGTTCAAAAAGTAATAAGTAAGTAAAAGTAAAAAAATATGAGTGACCTTTTTTTTTTGTTTAAATATTTTATTGCGAGTTAAAAATAAATATTAGTGTTTACGTATTATTAACGTAACGTGGGGTTATTTGTTCCGTGAATTTTCCGAATCAACCACCGTGTCGCGGCCGCCGCCGCCGCCTCCTTCGACGGCGGAATCAGGTCTGAACCGAAACGCTCATGGTCCGACCACGCCTTCTCTCCAATCACTCCCCTGTTTCGACGATTCGACGGTGAAGCTAACACCAAGTCAACCTTATTTGATTGCGCTCGCTGAACAAGGCCTCAATTAGCAGATACAGTGGACAATTCGACGCATGGGGATACTGCATGAAGCTCTACGCATCGTTCCGGTGCACCCGAATGGCCCTTTCGACCATAGCTTCTACATGAAAATTTTGCACCTCTGCATAGCTAGGAATGCCTTTACTTGTGGGCGCCAGGTGCATGGTCACATCGTCGCAAGTGGGTTCCCGTCGAATGTCCACCTGCGAACGAAATTGCTCGTGTTTTATGCCAAATGCATGGAATTGAAAAGTGCCCGCAAGGTGTTTGGTGAAATGCGTGAAAGAAGTGTTGTGTCTTGGTCTGCTATGGTTTCTGGGTGCTGCCAGAATGGGCACTTTGAAGATGCTTTGACGACATTTGTAGAAATGCGCAGGGAGGGTGTTAAGGCCAATCAGTTCACTTACGGGAGTGTGTTGCGGGCATGTACTAGCATTAGGTGTTTCAATGTGGGGGTGCAGGTACAGGGGTGTGTAGAAAAGGGAAGGCTGGTGGGTAACTTGTTCGTGCAGAGTGCTCTCATTGATTTTCACTCTAAATGCGGAAAGATGGAGGATGCAGACCGCTTGTTCGAGAGAATGACTGATCGGGACATTGTTTCATGGAATACCATCATTGGAGGATACGCAGTTCATGGTCTTCTTGCTAATTCTTTCCAACTGTTTTGCTTAATGATGAGAGAAGGTATTAGTAGCTAAAAGAACGTTTGCTGCAGTTTCTTGACCTTACGGTAATGAACTTTGTACAGTGTACTTAGAAAACTAAGACGTTGTATAGTGTAGATTGCATATGTTTCAGGGAGTACTTGATCTTGTTAGTCCTTTGATATTATGCAGCCTAGAAAAATCACTGGGGTAAAACTTTAAATAATATGATCTAGATGAGATTACTTGTGGTACAACATTAAATAGTAAAAGTGTTTGCAAAGCAGAAGCGGAGCGAGTTTTGAGAGGCAATTACGGCTTGCAGTACTGAACCAGAATGAGCAAGAATGCGTTGCATTAACTCTCTCTCTCTCTCTCTCTCTCCCCCATATCCTTTCTATTGAATGCATGGGTGGTTGGAATCTAATATTATTGAAGTTTAACAATCAAACATAGTTGCTAATATTCTGTGTCAAACTCATTAGGCATGGCCCCTGATCGCTTCACACTTGGAAGTGTTTTACAAGCCTGTGCTGCTGGTGGCACTCTTCTCCAAGTAAGCCAAGTTCATAAATTTATAGTAGAATGGGGCTTCTTATATTACAAAGATTTGACTGGATCCTTGATTGATGCTTATGCAAAATGTGGGAGTGTCCAAACTGCTCATCATTTATATAGGAGTATGGCAGAAAAGGATTTAATATCATACACTGCCCTTGTTAATGCATATGCTCGGGAAGGTAAATATGGCAATGATTTCCTGGATATCTTGAAGGAATTAGTATGTATGCAATTGGAAGTTGATGATATTACACTCTGTTCTATACTTCATATATGCGCTGATATAGCATCATTGATCTTGGGACGACAAATACATGTCCTTGTTCTGAAACGTCTAGCCAGTAAAGATGTGGCCATTGGCAATGCTCTAGTTGACATGTACGGGAAATGTGGCGAGATCAAAGATGCTACTTGTGCTTTTGTTGAGATACAAGTGAAAAATGTCATATCATGGACTTCTTTGATTGCTGCCTATGGTAGGCATGGCTTCGGAAACGAGGCGGTTGCTCTTTATAGGCAGATGGAATCTAAAGGGCTGAAGCCAAATGATGTTACATTTTTATCTCTCCTCTTTGCTTGCAGCCATAGTGGATTGACCAGTGAAGGATGGGATTGCTTTACTAGCATGATCAGTAAATACAGCATCATTCCAAGAGCAGAACATTTTTCCTGTTTGGTAGATTTATCTGCACGTAGTGGCCAATTAGAAGAAGCATGTAAGTTAATACAAGAGATGGATATCAAACCAAATGCTTCTCTTTGGGCTTCTATATTGGGGGCATGTCGCATTTATGGCAATACATCACTTGGAAAAATAGCAGCTAGACATCTTGTCAGGTTAGATCCAAAAAATTGCACAAATTATGTTCTTCTAGCAAGCGTATATGCTGAAACTGGAGCATGGAAATATGCTCAAGACACTTGGTCCTGTATGGAAAAGATGGGCTTAAAGAAAGATCCAGGATACAGCCTTTTATTACCCACAAAGAAGAGAATTGCACTTCTGCAGCATGGTTAATGATGTTCTTGTGCTGTTATTCCTTCAGACATTTTGGAATCTCTTAAATGTCTGCTCCCTCAGAAAATAAGAGGGTAGATTTTCTCAAGTTTTCCTTCCCTATCGATAGCCACAAATGGTGCCATTCATGAATGACCATTCTCACATCGTCAATGTAAGGTGGTCTATCTTTCTAAACTTGATGTTTTTGTTGGTTGTGATTTATTGTTTCATTTTCCTACAAATTCTTTTGTAGTAATTTCTGGAGCATGTAACCTCAAAGGTAGCTGATTGTCTCAACAAGATTCTTGAAGCTTGAGCAAAGTCAAGAATTGAGATGAGAAAGAGTGGTTTCTTGTCAAATTTTTCATGCAAATAACTACTTGCACAGGTATTCCCGATGAAAACGATTGCTGGATATACTCTGTTTCAGCATTTTGAATATGTTTTGAATAATTGCAACAGGCAGATATGAATACTCTAGCATTCTCTCCCTTGAGTGGCTTCTTTGTCAAAAACCTCCCAAACATTGTGTGTCTGTGTATGTCCATTACATATACTTGTAATTACATATTATTGTCTGGCCCAGGGCTGCAGGAAAAAATGAAACCCATATTATTTAGAGTTCTGCAAAACAAGGATGTTGTTACTAAGCCTATGGACTTGATTTTGATTTAGGGGAAACATTTAACTTGTAATTTTAAGCTTTAGAAGTAATATCTCATGTCACTCGTGTGCCTCTTTCTGGTTTTCTTTTTTACATCCATTTCATTGCGTCAGTTTTCAATTACTTCTGCTGTCGCAAGTTCATCAAATGCACTGTCATAGTTGCTGTTACTTTTATATTATAGTAAAGCGCTCTCAATAGATCTGCTTGCAAAAAATGTGATTTGTTGTAGGGGTGTTCATAAAAAACTGAAAACCGATATACTGAGTTGAACCAAATCGATAAGTTCGGTTTTTTTTTATTCGTTTATGGGTTTGTTTTGGTTTATAACTTAGGAAACCGATGAATCCGAACCAAACCGATAGATTTTGTAATTTATTTTCTTCCTAACTAATAAATCTTGCAGTTTAACTTAACCAAATAAATTCTTCCAATCTAAGATTGCTCTCTACTATTAAATGAAAAATTTCTACTTCTCAGGTTGGCCATTATTGATTGATTTTTCATCTCAAATAATACACACGAAAGAGTTTTCCGTGATCTTTGGTGTTCTTACATTTAGTTCTTTTTTTTTTTCACTCAGTTTGTAGAAATTAGGTGCTTGTTGTGTTACTTTTAATTTCACGTTGAAGTTAGATAGTCTAGGTATGTATGAAACTTCCTACTCATAAATTGGCTTGATGGTATCGTTTGAAACCGAACCAGACCGATAACAAACGACGTTATTGGCTGGGGTTGTGTTGTAATTTTATTGGTTTTGATTTGGGTTGAGATTCTCCCAAACTGATATTCGTTACCTCCCAACCGAACCAAACCGAACCATGAACACCCCTAATTTGCTGTTAATGTGTTCATCTATCACTATCACTGATCCGTATTACTGTAACTGTAGAAACCCATGCCCATCATACAACTAGTGAGGGAAACTGAAGCTGTCATATAAGAGTTTACTCAGTCGGGGTAAATTGAGCTACATCATAGAATGGGGCAGTTGGTAGGACTAACTTATTTTGTATCTGTAAGTGGAATTTAACTTCATTGGCTAGCTGGTTTTATTACTTTAAAATGAGAGAAAAAGCATTTGCAATCTTTTCTATACTTCAGAATTAGAAAAGCTACCTTTGCAGTTATTTTTAACCTTGCACAACTGGTTTTATGCTCAATCAAAATAAAGCAGGACTTATCCAGGATCCCGCATTCAGAAATGTTCCAGCTAGAGAAGTTAAACATGTCAGATCAAGCCAGTGCTCCAATTTATTAGGTGAAGATGGGACCTTTTAATTGGGTAGTTAATGGGTGCAGTAATGTTTATGACATTTAAATGAGCTGTTTGATAGTGCAATGGCACTTATACGTGGTTGAATGTAATGTTTGGAAAAAGCCAAGACATATGGGATCTGTTTGCGATGTATGCTTTGACTGTTAATAGATGGTGACTGAAAATTCTGGTTTAATAGGATATGTACCTTAAATATGGTTTGCAGGGACAAGTAAAATCAGCCAAAATAAATTTGGCATAAGATGAGAAATTTTAATGGCTCGCATTAGTTGCTTAACAAAGTTGTACATGTTAAAGGCAATGACAGTTGCCATCACAGATTCATAGTGCCAGATTAGAACAGCAAGCTGCAACAGTTCCTGTTGAATCGGTTCTTGGAAATCTTTCATTTACCATGCATCCCTCTGGCTTCCTTCCCACTGTTCTTGGAACTTCTGCTGTGCCACTGGACCTCGCTTGTTAAGTTTCAATTTGCAGCAAGTATTGACATTGCACCCTTTTTTTTATTGTGAAATACAGATTTGAAGGTCAAATTTCAGGAAAGAACATTGAAATTGGAATGATTGGCCTTGACTGGAAATTCAGGTAACACTTTATCGGAACTTTTGTGAAGTTTTCTGGGCGAAATCTTCTAGATTTTATTAAATCTTGGTGATTAAGTTTCTCCACAATTGCCTACACTTCATTTTGTTACGTTTCTTTACCATGAGGGTGAAAGCAGCATGAACTTGCATATCCTCGAAGAATTTACTCCTTTCAAAAAGATTTCTAACTAGTTTTATCTGTTGGAATTTTCTTGACCGAATATAAACTAGAAACAGCCGTTTTTGGTTTTTGATATGATTTTGAACGAAACACAAGCTTTTCAAAGCATATAAGCATCTTTAGTCTGCTAGAACAATGGTCATTGACCTTACTGCTCTATCAGAACATATGCCAAATTGCCAACACCTCAGAGGATGAAATGGCCACAGAATCTTATATTGAATTTCTCAGCCAGGAGCATAGCAGCTCAACATGTGAAGGCGGTTCTAGCAAGATTTTTCAGGCAGACACAAGGATTGGAAGCTGAACCAGCCACTTGAGTTGGGAAGGAAGAGGCCAATGGGTGAAAACTTGAACAAAACATATATGGCAATGAGATTTTGCAGTTGGGGAACTTACTTTTTACTTCTAACTGTAGAAAAGGGCATAATTCATTTGTAATATAGCAGCAATTTTCTTCCTCAAAACTTGAAGAAATTGTGTTTTTCTGTTTTTGTATTTCTCATCTTCTCTTGTATTGTACAAGTGTATTGTATATATAGATATTACAAGAGCCCTAAATTAGGGATGATTGAGGATGATTAAGGTAAGTAGAGATTATGGGAGCAATATTCTTAAATTAGATACAAGAGATAAGATTGCTGACTAGGAACGTTATCACCCTCCCGCAAGCGAAGCATTGTCAACAATGTGAAGCTTGGACCGTAAAAGACGAACTTGTGCTGATGACAGTCCTTTGGTGAAGATGTCCGCGATTTGATCACAGGTGTTGATGTAATGGATGTCAAGTAACTGACGACCCACTAGTTCACGAACATAGCGATAATCTATTTCAATGTGTTTAGTGCGACTATGAAAAACGGGATTCCGAGGTAGGGCAATGGTAGAGATGTTGTCGCACCGCAATACAGGAGTGCGGGGAAGCGAGATCCATAGTTCTTGGAGAAGAGAGAGGAGCCATTGAATTTCAGCAGCTGTTTGAGCAAGACAATGATACTCGGCCTCTGTAGAAGAACGGGCAACAATAGGTTGCTTCTTTGCTTGGCCCCGAGAAATAAACAATAGCCACTAGTAGAGCAGCAATCATCGGGACAACCGGTCCAATCAGCGTCACAATAGGCATGTAAAGAAATAGGACCAAGCTGAAGTTGCATGCCATAAGAGATTGTGCCTTTCAGGTATCGAAGGATACGCTTTACAGCTCGCCAATGGTGTTCTTCGGGTGCTTTAAGAAATTGACAAGCCTGGTTAACAGCGTAGTTAACGTCAGGACGATTGAGAGTAACATATTGAAGTGCTCCAACCACACTCTTGTATAGAGTAGGATCTGAGACAGGGTCACTGCGTGAATGATCAAGTTTATCCGAGGTAGCAGGGCTGGAAACAGGCTTGCAATCCAGCATATTGGTGCGATATAAGAGGTCATGAATGTACTTTGCCTGATTAAGGAAGATGTGATGGGGGCTTTGTCGAACGAGTTGAATGCCCAAGAAATAAGTCAAAGGGCCTAAGTCCTTCATCTTGAATGAGGGGCGAAGTTCCTCAATGATAGCAGAGATAGCGGTGGAATCATTTCCTGTTAAAATAATGTCGTCAACATATGATAATAGATAGAAAATGGTAGAGCCATGATTGTAAATGAAGAGCAACAGATCCGAGATAGTGGTTAAAAAACCAATGTCTTCGAGCCGAGCTGTAAATTTTTCAAACCAAGCGTGAGGTGCTTGTCGTAGGCCATAGATGGATTTGTGCATTAAGCAAACAGAATGAGGAGCAGCAGGATCAACATAGCCTGGTGGTTGAGCCATATATACAGTTTCCCGGAGATCGCTGTGTAAAAATGCACATTCGACATCAAGTTGTTGAATCCAGTGACAGCCAGTTTGAGAATGCACATACAGTTTCCATAAGTGACAGCCAGTGTGAGAATGACCCGAATAGTAGTATGCTTTACGACAGGACTAAAAGTGTCCACAAAGTCAATGCCAGGCTATTGGTGAAATCCTTTCGCTACAAGGCGAGCTTTGTAGCGATTGATGGTGCCGTCTGGGTTATGTTTTATTCGGTAAACCCATCTGCAGCCAACGACATTCATGGTCGGATTAAATGGCACAAGCGACCAGGTGTGTTGTTCCTATAAGGAATTAAATTCCTCATCCATAGCTTTTCGCCATTCAAGTGATTTGGAAGTTTGAGTGTAGCACGTCGGCTCCAAGGGAAGAGAAGAAGTAAGAGCAATGGGGTAACGAGCAGTAAAGGTTTTTGGTTTGAAAATATCATGTTGAGAACATGTGATCATGGGATGAGTGCGGGTGGGAGGTGGTGGGGGAGGGGGTGGTAGGGTGGTAGCTGGTATAGGGGAAGGTAAAAGGGGAGATGGGGGGTCATCTATAGTTAGCGGAGCGGAAGCAGCACCGTCGGCAGGGTTGATGGTGGGCTCAACCCGTGTGGTATCCGTAGGGGCGGAGGTTGATGGTAGCCAGATGGAGAGAGGATCAAATGAGGGCAAAGTGGTAGGAGATGGTGGAGAGTTAGAGTTTGTGATAAACGGGTAAACAGATTCGTCAAATTTGACATGACGAGATATGTAAACTTGGTGACTTTGCATGTCATAGCAGCGATACCCTTTATGAAAGGTACTATAGCCTAGAAAACAACATAAAGAAGAGCGAAACTCCAATTTGTTAGAACAATAGGGACGGAACCAGGGATAACAAAAGCATCCAAAGGCTCGTAAATGAGAATAATCGGGAATTTGTTGAAACAATTGTTGATATGAAGAAATTTGAGAAATAATAGGCATGCGGTTGATGAGATATATAGCCATATTGAAGGCTTCAAACCAAAAGAGAGAGGGCATGCCAGCTTGAGCTAGAAGAGCGAGACCAGTTTCAACTACGTGGCGATATTTTCGCTCAACGACACCATTTTGTTCAGGCGTATGTGGGCAGGAAAATTGATGACGAATGCCATGAGTGTGAAAATAAGATTCGAGTGCATCACTAGTGAATTCGCCACCAGCATCGGAGCGGAAAAATTTAATTCGATGGTTAAATTGAGTTTCAACTTACGGTTTGAAAGCTAGAAAAATTTCGTAAAAATCAGATTTATGGCGCATAGGAAATATCCAGCTGTAAGGAGAGAAATCATCAACAAACAGTACATAGTAGGAAAATTTTGAAATAGAAGATACTGGGGTTGGTCCCCATACATCACAATGAATCAATTCAAGTGGAAATTGAGTGTGTGTGAGACAACGAAAAGGGTAACTTGCAACTTTTGCCTAACTGGCATGCAGAACAGAGAGAGTTGTCACGCTTATTTGATATTCGAAGTTGTTTAAAAATAAGATTTTGAATAGCTGCAGAAGGGTGGCCGAGACGATGATGCCAGGTGGAGGAGTCAATGCGAGAAGAAAATGAAACTTGAGATTTGAAGCAAGGTTTGGGGAACCGCATAGGATAAAGCCCATTCTCAGTCCACCCGTGGTGTAGAATTTGCCACGTTAGCTTGTCCTCCACAACAAATTGAGAATCATTAAATAGAAAATAGCAGTGGTTGTCTTTAGCAAAACGGCTAACTGAAATTAAATTGGTAGATGCTAGAGGACAACGAAGTATATTAGTTAATTGCATGGAAGAAACGGGATGTGAGAGAGAAGTGGAACCAACATGAGTAATAGACAAACCTTGGTCATTTCCAACCTGAGCTTCATCAGAATCACTATAGGGAGCTGAGATGGAGAGATTACCCAGATCGGCTGTAATATGATGGCTAGCCCCAATATCAGTATACCAAGTGCCATCGTCAGTAGGTGGTGCAATAGCCATGGCAGCAAGATTTTCAAGAGGATTATGACTGTGGTATGCATAGTTCATGCGATGATAGCAGTCAATGGCACTATGGCTGTGGTTGTTGCAAATCTGACAGATCAGGCGACCAGTATTCAGTTGACGACCTTGAGGTCGAAATGATGGAGTAGGGAGAAGTCCGGCTTGATTGGAATGACCCCTGTTGCGTCCCCTATAACCAGTGCCACCCCTATAGGGACGAGGTGTGAATGAGTGTTGCCTAGGAGAGAGAGTTCGAGGTTGTCAGTTTGCAACGAAGGCAGAAGTAGTTTTGGATATTGAATCATCAATGATGCTTAGTTCTTCAGAGAGTAGGAGATTGTGTAAATCTTCAATGGTGATGGAAGTTTGACGAGCACAAACACGAACAGAAGATGCAAAGGAGCAGTAAGCAGCAGGCAATCCATCGAGAATGCAAATTAGGAGATCATCATCACTTACTGAGGATCCGCAAATTGCGAGTTTATCAGCTAAAGTTTTGAATTGTTGGAGATATTCTTGCATGGTGAGGTTGCCCTTCTTGAGTTGATGTAATTGTCTTTTGAGAGACATTACATGAGCAGGAGTGAGAGAGGCATAGCGACGAGCAAGGACATCCCACGCGGCTTTTGCAGAAGTAGCGCCAACGACATATGGAAGTGCAGATTCAGAGAGAGTAGTGTTGATTCAGGAGAGTAGCATCTGATCTTTTTCGATCCATGTCTTGTAATTTTCATCAGTTGAAGCAAGTGCTTGGGAGGTTCCATCAATGTAAGACATGAGGTTGTGGCCTTTGAGAATTGGTTCGAAAAGAGAGCGCCAGAGAAGATAGTTTGAGCTGTTCAATTTGATGGGTATCAAGTTGGATATGTTTGAGATAACGAGTGAGGGAGATACGACAGATGAAGATGACTAAGATGATGGATTAGGGCCTGTCGACATTTTCTTTGGGAAGAAGGAAGACGATGAGGAATGAGATGAGAAAGAAACTTCAGGATCATAAGGCAGATTATGCCAAATACGGCTCTGATACCATGAAGAAATTGTGTTTTTCTGTTTTTGTATTTCTCATCTTCTCTTGTATTGTACAAGTGTATTGTATATATAGATATTACCAGAGCCCTAAATTAGGGATGATTGAGGATGATTAAGGTAAGTAGAGATTATGGGAGTAATATTCTTAAATTAGATACAAGAGATGAGATTGCTGACTAGGAACATTATCAAAACTGACGTCTCTTTTCTGCTCCGATTCGAAATGCCAGATGGAAGAAACGAGGAGTGAAAATATAATTAACTGATCTAATTAGATAATGATGAAAACGATAGCATCCAAGTAATCATGAGATGATACCCAAATAACTCCACTGTGGCCATACGCACACATAAGAAGTATACCGGTGTCTTGTCAACAATTGCTCTCGGAACCCTTGTCAAACATCCTTGCGAAAAAATATATCATTTTTAACTTTTTTAAGATATCGGTTATGTATGTTGTGAGGATTGTCATTGCGTTAAGAATTATAGTGTCTCCTTATTTAGTCGCTTAATAAGCATCCGGGAACAATGTATAATAAAATCACTAGAAAGTATTAGAATTCAAACGATTAGAACGCGTTTCCTGTTATTCGTTCGGTTGCAAAAAGTTTGAGAGGGGCAAAAATTTCGGACCAGAATATCTCATCGCTCGGGTATATTTTCCGGGGAATCTTTTTTTTATAGTTCAGCAAAGTGTAGAATTGTGTAACTTATTTGATAAATGCTCTTAGTCTCAAAACTTCAACAACCATCGATAAGATTGTCATGCTCAAATTAGACAAAAATAAATAATTCCACGGCACAATCGCCGATCCAAATTATTTTATGCACGCTCAAGTAATAAGCAGTTAGGCAAACTTGAGTTCGAAATCATAACATGTTCGACAGTACTAATTATGCATGACACGAGAATAGTGAGACTTTCCTAATCGAGGCAGGTGAGCAAGATCCGCAATTTAAAAAATCTGCTTGCACCTTTTGTCAAATCACATTATATTAAATCTCATAAAGTTCTTCATGCATCGATATCATATGCTTCTCAACTCAGGTTGAAATACAGCTCTAAAGTAGATCTCGAGTCCCCCGACACAACACAGATTTACACACATTTTCCGCAGCAACGATCCGCCGGAGCACAGACGACAGCAAGAACAGCTGGCGACTTCTTCTCCGGCGAGATCAGAAACAGAGCATCCACACAACTACGTGAATGCAGAACACCCAAATGAAAAAAGAACACAGTGTCGGCCACAACCGGACCATCTTCTTCACCGCCGGCAACGGGTGATTATGGAGCAGCCTCGGCTGTACGGGTGGACGGGCCCTATGGCCTTGAAGCAGTTGTGGGTGTAGTACGACCTCCCCGACCGGGGAGGGCAGGGGACTCTGTTCGCCGACAGCGCCCCGTACGATATGTAGTACCTCATTATGGTGTGCCAGAACAGGGACCGGCGGCCCCCCTCTCCCTCCACCTCCTCGCCCTCGCCCTCGCCCTCGCCGTCGCCGGCAGAGAAGCCGTCGTACAGAGAGATCGCGCCCGGCCACTCCATTGTCGGGTCGGACGTCATCAGCTTCAGGCTCGCCTCGTCGGCCGCCGCCGCCGCCTGGGCTCGCACGAGGTGGCGAGCGGCGAAGAGGGAGTGGAGGAGGAGGAGGGAGGCGAGGAGGAGGAGGTTGAAGGCGGAGGAGGAGGCCATGAGAGAGAGGTGAAGTGAATGGGCGATGGAAAGTGAGCGAGCGTTCGAGTTGATCTTGAGGGAAAAGCTAGCGGAGTGGATTTAGCAAAAGGAAGTATTTACCTGTCTCTAGTAATTTCTTCTTCTTCTTCTTCTTCTTTGCAATAAAGGACCGCGTGATATTGTGCATTCACATTTTTGACCCGTGATCAAGAGTGAGTGAGCATTGGTATTGATAAAAAGGGAGTTTACTATTTTCCGGAAAAGATAAAGAAAAGCCATCATTGAGTCATGGAAATGTTCCAATTACAAAAGTCATGTCTCCTACACGGATGATTTTTTCGATTTTTCCACGTCATTGCCGGTTGGAAAAATAATTGCATGAACCCGATCGATCGGAGACCGGTGATCATCGTTTGATCCGATGGACCCATGTTGTCGGTGTATCGAAATTGCTTGATCCATGGAGTAGGGAATCCGATCTTACGCCTTTGTGCTAGTTGTGAAAGGGAGACTAGAAAGAACGATCAAGATCGGTATATAGGGCACTTATTCCTCCACAAGATCCGAGAAGATTAGGGATGCGACAAGGTCGATCAGCGACTATTGGATTTGAGCAGAGCTTCGTGATTGAACTTTTGGCGATTGGCCTAGGTAATGATTCAACATGAGCGAGATCCTCCATTCAACAGTCAGCAAAAAGCGATTCAAACCATAAGAGTCAACACAAGAGAACCTTTTCCATGAAAGCAATTCACAAATTGGACCAAAACATTTTCTCAGCGGGCTCGGTTGTGTAATCCTCTGACTATCAATTAAAAGTCACAACCAAATCGTAAATAAATCTGAAGTATCTCAAGCGCTAGGCAAGCAGTTGGGATCTTCATGTTTAAGGACGAAGCTCCAAACGTTTTCTTTAATGGGCTTGTAAAGCTAACAAGACTTATCAAGAAAATGAAGAACCAATGAAGCAGATGATTCAAACTCGATTCATCGAACCGGAGCGTACAAAAGCAATCCGCTCCGGTTCGACTTCGTGTAACTCCACCCCCACCAAACTTCGCAAACATTAATTTCAAGGGAGAATGACACAAACGGTCCTCCAAATTTAGCTTAATGTATAATTTGGTTCTTGAGTTTATGATTTGTTTAATGTTGTCCATGAATTGTAACCCGATATGCAATGTAGTCCATAAATTTTTTATTTGTTCAATGCGATTCCTGAACATATGGAAACTTTCAATATTCGTCTCTGAACTTGAATCAATAGAAGGACAACATGAACATTTTTATATAATTCGTGGACTAAATTGAATACGTCCTAAAAGTCTGGAAATTATACCGAGCAAACTAGACATTCAAGAATCACATTATTTATGTCGCTGTACCTAATTCCAGCTGTCTCTGTTCCTGCGGCAAATAATTTATTATTTTTTTTATTTTTTCATTTTTTTGGGGGGATCGGCTTTTAAGAGGGGGTGAGTTGACGGGTAAGACAAATCATTATTGCAGAGGAAGAACGGTTCACATGCACCAACAGAGGCGTGATTGGATTCCAGCTATCGCGATCCGCCCCACGATCGACACGTGTCGCGATCTGCCGCGCCCGGCTCCGTCCCTTCTCCGGCGATTGGGTGCGGTGAGGTGCAGGGGGCCCGGGCTCCTCCTGGTCCTGTCGAGCGTCGACCGTCCCGGAACTGCGGTGCGGCAGGGGATGGATATGACGTGTCGGGACATGATTGGGTGGTGCAGGGAAGATTGGGTGTCCGTCGAAGCACCGAAGTGCAGGAGGGACGGAGACCGCGACGTGTCGGATGCAACTTTTAAGACGCGGATGGTCGCCTGGGGCCAGCGGCTGGGGCCCACCTATCCTGCGCCACGAATTTATTTTTTCTTTTTTTTGAAAAATATCACCAAAAATTTCAAACTATGCGACTTATGAAAAATTTATCTTGAAATTTTTTTTTTGACACGAAATACCCCAAACTATGTTACTTGTGACAAATTTATTATGAATTTTTTTTGTGACACGAAAAACCCTAAATTATGCCACTTATGACACATTTACCCTTCAATACTTTAACCCATAGGCATTTTCATCTTTTTTCTTTTTCTATTTTTTTTCTTTTCTTCTCTCTTCCCTCCGCCGGCCATGGCGGAGGGAAGCCGACAAGGCAGCCCTCGCCGGCGTCGGGCGACCCTCGCCCAGCGCCGCCCTCACCGGCTTCCCTCCGTCATGGCCGGCGGAGGGAAGAGAGAAGAAAAAAAAAGAAAAACAGAAAAGGAAAAAGACGAAAATGCCTATGGGCCAAAATGTAGGGTAAATGCACATGGCAAGATATGAGATTTTTCGTGTCACAAAAAAAGTTCGAGTAAATTTGTCACAAGTGTATAGTTTGGGTTTTCGTGTTACATAAAAAAGTTTAGCAGAAATTGTCGCAAGGACATAATTTGGGGCTTTGATAGTACTTTCCTTCTTTGTTTCTTTTGAGTTTATTTCTGAGATTGTCATTTTCTAAAATTCTAGGGTGTACGTCGATATGAATTAAAAAGGTTTCATGGTATGTCGACCGTCTAACTTCATCATATAAAGATAATGATGCTCTTTATACCAAACGTTAACTAACGCGAATCGCACACACACAAGTTTGATATTTACAATTTGAATCAATTGGACATACTCCTTTTGCTTCCGCACATGATGTCAAGAAAAAGGCGAAATTTTTTTTTTTGTCGCGAAAGACAATAAAAGGCTTTCAAAAAATTTCAAGTATATCATTTTGCATCTTCTGAATCAATTTTGCACCATGCTGCGAAGCTTGTATTATGCAGAAAAAGGAAAAAGACGAAAATGCCCATGGGCCAAAGTATTGTAGGGTAAATGTGTCACAAGTGGCATAGTTTAGGATTTTTTGGTGTCACAAAAAAATTTAGGGTAAATTTGTCACAAGTGGTATAGTTTGGGGTTTTTATGTTACAAAAAAGTTTAGGGTAAATTTGTCACAAGTGACATAGTTTTGGGTTTTTGATAGTATTTTCCCTTCTTTGTTTCTTTTGAGTTTATCTGTGAGATTATCGTTTTCTGAAATTCTGGGGTGTACGTCGATATGAATCAAAAAGGATTCATGGTATGTCCATCGTCTAACTTCATTAGATAAAGATAATGATTCTCTTTATACCAAACGTTAACTAACGCGAATCGCACACACACAAGTTTGATATTTACAATTTGAATCAATTGGACATACTCCTTTTGCTTCCGCACGTGATGTCAAGAAAAAGGCGGAAAATTTTTTTGTCGCGAAAGACAAAAAAACGCTTTCAAAAAATTTCAAGTATATCATTTTGCATCTTCTGAATCAATTTTGCACCATGCTGCGAATCTTGTATTATGCAGTTCTAGTAAATTAAGGCACATTAGCATCATCTACTTCTTCTTGGTTTGAATCTAGCTTAATATCCAACCTTTCCTTGAGAGGATAAATGATGCCTCTTTGGTACAAATATTCTTCAATCTCGACGTGGATGTTCTTATTTGGATATCTTATTTTGGACTGCTGGATTTATGTTTACGATACGCATTTTGGCAGGAATCAACATAAAACTTTGGGCCAGTCGAATTTTTGGCACTCTTGAATTGAGTGGAGAAGTTGAAGAATTGAGCAAATGTTTGGGGTGCAGATATCAGCTTCTTTCTCTTACAACTTTCGATTCAAAAATTGAAAATGGAATGAAAAATGTGCAACCCTAAATGTCAATTTGTTCAAAGAAATATGTGAAGGCTGTGTCCCCAATAAAAAAAAAGGAAAAACAAACGTGAAGAAAGAAACGTAAATGTGGTAAAATGACGATGCACGATGGCACGCCTGGTGGGACTCGAACCCACAATCGTCTGATTAGAAGTCAGACGCCTTATCCATTAGGCCACAGGCGCTACCTTGACAGTCACTTTCCATAATTATTTTAATTATTGAATATTGAAACCAAATACGAAAATGGGCCGGCCTGTCCGGCCCATCTAGCCCTTGCGACGATAAAATATGTCGACTATTTTATCTCGAGAGAGGCTTTTTCTTGGGCCCAAACTGGGAATGAGTTTGGGCTTTGTGGATTTTCTGGATTGAATATGATAGGCCCAACAGCGGGGGAAAAAAAAGCGCACAGAAGATTGACCATGAAGCAGCAAAGAAGTGTTTGGTCTCTCAACTCACACGGGGCATCAAAGGCTAACAAAAAAGAAAAAAAAAAGATAGAAAGAAAAAAAAACGGACCGAGATCAGCGGCGGACCAAAAATATACATTAAAGACCGCGAGATACGAGCCGTTATGTGGGAATTTCGAATGGATTGTACTTATGGTTACTGAAATTTGCCCCGAATGATAACGAGCGCTGGGAAGGATGTCGATCGGTGCTAGCTTCCCACCCCGGTCCATCAATGGTTCGGGTCTTCGAGACGCTCGACACACGAGCTTTAGTTCGATGGTGCCAACCGTACAATTGGGTATCTCCCAATTGGATGCCTTCCATCGATTTCAACCCTTTTAAAGTTGTGTTTTTTTTTAAAAATCTTTTTTTGGCTCCTTTTCTGATCACGGAAAAGGAGGATAAGGATAGACGACTTTTTTGGCTCCACAATATGTCCATATTTGCAAGTAATTCACAAGGAAAGGACCACAAACAATTTCTCTCTTTTTTTATTTAAGTCGTGTCTCTCTCTTTCTCGACCTTACTCTCTAAGATGTTGGACGCCTCGAAGCTTCATTGGCTAACTGGCTTAGTTACTCCAGTAATGATCAGAAAAAAAAAGAAATTTTATGGCCAGGGCCATAATAAATAAATAGCTCAAGAACACTCCAAGTTGTGTGGTCCAACACTTTGTGGCTCAATTTTCCTTTGGATTCCTTTTACCATGTGAGTTTTTCTTATTTTTGCAAAGAAGACCCTGCAAATCTTTTGTTTTGGAAAATTATGTCACATTCTTATACCAAAAAGGAGATGCATCATCTTTATTTAATTTTAATTCTTGAATTTAGCATCTTTTCTCACTGTTAATGCGTCGATTACGATCAATAGATCAAAGGGTACTTGCAAAGAACCTAATTGGTTCTCA